ACTCATACCAGCAACATACACACTGCTTTTTTTGTACTGATGGACAGAGTAAAGCTCTTAGTAAAATAGCGATTACATTTCTGAGTTAATTTCACATAAATTCTATTTCCAAAAAGCACGAAGTTATAAGACAAATCAAGGACATCATAAATTAGATGACAGAGAAAAAAGTGCAAATGCTGTTAATACTTATTCATAAGTTACAATACCTTTGATAAAATATATTTCTCAGTGCACCTTAACCATCTTTACATAAAACCATCACCAACAGTATGCATGCAATTTCACAGTGTAAAATGTTGTTTTCCTCTGAAGAGCTATAAGGCTGTGGAAACTCATGGATGCAGTAATGTAGCAGTCACATGTAGAAATAGTATTGTTTCATCAGTCACTCTCTGGCCTCATGAGTCATGTCATGAAACCCGAGTTCAGCAAAGGCGGGATGATGTGGTAACTCCGGTGAACACAGGAAGAACATGGTGTTGTCTTATTGTGTCTCCTCCACTAGCACATTATTATTCAGGGTTTGTGTGTGTGTGTGTATGAGTGAGGGATGGTTATTGTACTTAGAAAACTTTGTGAATGGGTCCACTGACTAATGAGTGTGAGGCTGTGTCAGCGTCAACCATTAGTGGGACTCTGATCAACTATACCACATGTCCAAGACCAGTGATGGGAACCTGCTGTTTAAATTCGATCATGGCAACATCCGCTAATCAGTATTTGCTTTGTTTTATCACTATTTTTTGTGTTTTCATGTGCGTGCTAGATCACAGAGATCAGGAACAGAAGGCACAATAAAGCTAAGGGAGTCATTCTGGTCTCCGAGGCAGCGTTCATCTGCAGCTTCTGATGGACGATTGTCCTGTTGTAGCCGTTCTCTGAGGCGACGCATTTATAAACGCCCTCATCCTTTTCGCTCATGCTGTCGATCAGCAAAAGGCAGTCCTCTTCAGCTAAGGCACACTCAATTCTCCTGCCCTGGTGGGTCCAAGCATATGAGGCATGCTGGGATTCCATTGGGCATTTAAGGTAGAATTTGGAGTCTTGAGGGACGCTGCTAGGAGAGTCACTCTTGCTATGCGTCCGGGACTCACTGGTTTTGGGGACATCTGTGAGGATAACAGCAGATGGTCATGGGTTAGAAATGAGCACAAAGGTCAATACTAGAGATAACTCTAATCTAAAATGACAATAACTCCAACCATACAGTAAAATAATATATTGAGTTCCTACATAGAGATGCCTGAGAACTCCCATGACTGAGTGCAGGAAAAAACCATCTGCATAATCGATTATTTGTTTCTGCAAATTGCGTGGGACACCAGCCATCATAATTAGCGTCATGTGACCAGCTTATTAATCACTGTTAATATAGTAAAACCCTTCCAACAGGACCAGGATTGTCCATTCTTGGCAAAAGTTCCATCCCAACTACGTCCCAAAAAGTTCAGCATTGGAAAATGGTGACAAATTTTCTTCTTTTCCTCAGTCTTTGTTTGTCAAGTTCACCATGGTGCGCACGCATTTTTATTCGCAACATCTGCGAACAGTGCGAAAAAAAACAAACTGCCATGCTTGATTTTTTATATGACTAAAACGAATAAGTGTGAATTTTATTTCATATTCGTTTCAGTTCACAGGTCATGGTTACATGGGTTATTATGCTATTTTGTTTTTATGGCTGGTGATTAATAGGCTGTCTTGTTTGCCTGTTTTGGCCAATTTATTGACAGTAGACTAGAGGCACGTGATATTTGTTGAAGTGGTTTGCACACAGAGCAGCCAGTGGTAAAGAGTGTAAGAGTGTGCAGTATTTGTGAGCCTGCTTTATCAAGATAGTCTTCACTGGAAAAAACACAGCTGTAGAGTCTGTTTGTGTTAGTTATAGACTAAGAGGTCTATCCAAAAGCCTGTATATAGACCTGGGATTGACCGAAAAACATGTTTAACTAGACGAACTGTCCTGGTTTCTCATATTATGAAGGATCAAACAGGAAATAATTATATGAAATCTGACTGCACATTTATAAATCCTGAATATAAAGTCATAATTATGAATATATAAATGTAAATCCGAATATATAGTCATAACTCTGAATATATAAATGTAAAGAGGAACATATATTTATAACTCTGAATATATAAATGTAAATTGGATTGATAAATCTATAATTCCAATTTACATTTAATATATTCAGAGTTATAACAATATATACAGATTTGCATTTATATATTCAACATTTATAACTATATATTCGGATTTACATTTATATAGTCATGATTTACATTTATATATTCAGAGTTATAACTTCATGTTCAGGATTTATAAATATATACTCAGATTTCATATAATTATATCCTGTTTGGCCCTTCATAATATATATATATATCTTTTTTCCACAGTGTTTATGGCGTATCTTTGTAATTAGAGCGGCATGCTTTTAGGTTGCATCTGTAATTCCAGTTTTTAGTAAAATACAGTCGTTAAAGGCAAATAAGAGTGTTTCAGGGTGTTTTCACACTTGGCTGGAGCACTCAAATCTATCCGCAGGGGAGATTCTGGGCTTGTTTCAACAAATTTCTTCTGACTTACGTGTTGATTGTGTAATTTTATGCATCAATACTGCAGTGAACACAATTTTTGTAAAGTAGAAATTCATAGGTATGTCCCTTTATTGTTTTGATTCATCTTTCTGAATGTTTGTCTATACGGAAATAAATCAGCACATGGACTCAGGTCCAGTGTGTGAACGCACCCTGAGTTTAGCAACAGTGTAATGTAGCAAGCATGAAGTAAGCATGGAGCCTCACACACACACACACACACACACACACACACACACACACACACACACAGAGCGACCTACCTGTTTCACATATAGAGTGGTGTCCATGGGTCACATCTTGTAATAAGGATCTATAAAAAAACAGCACAAATAGTTAGATTTTAGCTCAGGAAAGTTCTAACTGCAGATTACGATAAACATTTCGGCATGCAGAACAGGACCCAAAAGTATGAATCCTCCATCATCAATTATGAAGATTATATTTCTCAAATGTTCTACAATCTCTCTTCATTCTTCACTACATAAATAAAAACTGTATGGGGCCAGTTTCAGGATTTAATCATTAGCACAGCACAGCGCTACTGAATTCTCAAATCTGATTGCTCAGAAGGTGTTGATTAATATTTTATAACAGCAGCTTTGACAGCAGTTCGGGCTCCAAGGCAAATTAACGCGCTCGTTGTAATATGTTACTGTTTCCATAGTAACAGCTTCAGAGAGACTTGCATGACGGACGCTCCATAACGACACTCCAAGACTGCTAATAAACAGATTTTAAAAGTGTGTCATTTGTATGTATAATCGTTGGTATGAAGTTTTCTGTAAGGAGACATTTATTTAACCTTCATGGAAGGAGTCTCCAGAGTCAGTATTTTGTAACAGTCAGTAAGATTTCCAGGATTTTACGCTTTGCTGTTTCTTCTGTAACTTGACAAGCTTCGTTTTTTTTTTTTTTTGTCATTTTAAACTTCAAGAGAGAGAGGAAAGAGGGACTGGTGATGGGATGACTGCTATTACCTAAGTGAGAACAGGAACTAACTTGTTTCATGGACATTCCAGAACGATAAATGTAACTTGAAATGGATAAAAAGTATAATGTGTCATTCTTAAATCAATAAGTTTGACACTTTGGTACATGCTGTTATTGTAAAATAATCAACTCTGGGGTGGTAACAGTAACGCCACCTTGGTTTAGACACAGCAGCACACCTCGTCATTGGCTATTTTCCTATAACAGCACAACACAGAGTGTTTTATTCTTTACTCAACTGAGTAAAGTGTTATGTTGGGCAATGCTATAATTCCCCCCTTGATGCAGACTCAGTCATGCGTTACGGTAGAATTCTTGTGCATTTAGTCTGCAGAGGTGATACTCTCTGAGTTTCTTATTGTTCCAATACAACCACAAACCACATTCATCTTAAATAAAGGTTAGTTCAGGTTTACGTGTTTGTGTGTATAGGTGTTGTGCATAAATATAGCGTGATCTCAGTGGAGTTAGGGGTGCTGGTGGGCTGCAAGTGTGGGTAGGTGTGTGTGTCATGGGACATACTGAGTAAGTGACTATGGTTAAAGTGTTCTTCTAAAGGTGTGAATTCTGCAGCAAGTGCAAAAGATGTTGCACACTGTGAAGTAATAATGAATAAGAGCGTACCACTATTACATCTACCACTAATATTTCATTCCATACGTTCCTAACATAACTTCATATGGAGTATTAAATTTATTCACTCTTTTTTTCATATTTAATCTACAGCGTATTAAATAAATAAGTGTATCAATTTATGAATAAATGAATAAATGAGGGACCCAGGGAACGCAGTGATTTATTAAACATTCTTTAAAAAAACAACACTGTAAACGCGAGATTAACTGTTTACCCAGTTATACCCGGTTATTAGCTATGTTATCTTTCACTCACTAGGTAATCTTTCAATAACCTGGTTATCTTTTACTCACCAGGAAAACTCTCGAGATTATCTTTCACTCACTAGTTTATTTCACTCATTATGTTATCTTTCCCTCACTGACTAGTTTATTTTTCACTTACTAGGTTATACTTCCCTCATTAGATTATCCGTTAATTACTAGGTTATCTTCCAGTTTTTTTTTTCAACTTGAAAAGCCTGAAAAGATGTTTAAGCCTGACTGAATGCAGGGTTTTAATAAAAGCTATGGTGGAGTATGAGCCCCATCAACCTTGAAGCTTATTCAAATTTTACCCTGACAGGAAGGAAACTGTGTCGGTTTAAGTGCAGGCATTTGTAGTAGTGAAATGCATTGTGGACAACAAGATTGGTCCACATATTTGATTTGGCACAGTTTTTAACTCCGGATGCCCTTCCTGACGCAACCCTCCCCAATTTTATCCGGGCTTGGGACCGGCACTGAGAGCGCACTGTTGCACGCAGCCCCAGTGGCTGGGGTCGGTACCCTGGCCAGGAATCGAACCCGGGCCGCAGCAGTGAGAGTGCTGTGGCCTAACCACTAGTCCGCCAGGGACCCCAGTTTCTGTGCTGCTACTCAGTACAAGTATGAACTTTTCATTAGCGTATTAACTTATTTGTCATTGAAGGAGGAGTTTTCTGAAAAGGACACTCATGACTGTCTTATAAGTGGTGTTTGTGGCGTTTCCGTGAATAAGCATTCGGTTGTAACTGTGGTTCCCTCTGTAGTTCCTCAAAACTGTTTCGGTTTCTAGTTAACTCAGTCTTGCAGCACTTTAAACTCAAAAAAATCATCCCTGCAAAGAATGCTCAGGACATTCATGACTAGTTATCAAATTTAAGCTTAGTTTAGAGCTTCTCTTTTGAGAAATGTAGGAATATAAATGTAAATGTAACAATGAGCTCGCCTTGAGAAACTATTGCCCTGGTTAAGAATTTTTTGTGCTCACATCCGCATTGGTGCAACAGCTTTTAGTGAAACAGGAAGACTAAGTACTGACTTGCACGGTATTGCACTGCATGTTCTGCATTTGGTGTGTTAAAGGGCTCAAACAAATACCTGAACATTAGACCCCACAAAGCTACCACCTTCCTGCACTGTTTTAATTTTTAATTACGTTTTTTTGTTGTTGTTGTTTGCTTAGTGTAATCTACTTTTTTGGCCTTAAAACAAAATTTCCAGAATGTGAAAAAATTAAATATGAACGAGTTTCAGCACGTACCCATTGTTAGCTGAACACCTCATCAAGTCCCAGCCGCAGTATGGGTCTCGTGCCATCACACAGGTGTCACAGTGTTTCCCATACACTCCGCAGGTGTGCAGGTCGATCTGGACCACCTCACTGCTGGAGCTCACCAACAGCTTTTTCTGCAGGAAGAACAAAAATAAACTACAAACACAGGAAGTACACAGCTGATGATTTAACAGGAACACTCACTGGGCCCTGAAGTAGTGGAAGATCAAATGCTCAAAATGCAATCTCTTAAAAATAATTAGAATAAATCCTTAAAGAGAGTTATTATTTTGTTTTGTTGGAACATGTTTTAAGTTTGTCTTACTGAAATAATATACTGCATTATCAATGAAGCCAAGTCCACTTTACAACAGGTTCCTCACTAATCAGGTTTCGGGCCTCATTCTAGTCACTAGCTCTTTTCAAAATAAAGCTTGGGGCTCGTAAGTGGCACAACGGCAAAGTGTTCACCATATCGTCTGGAGGACGCAAGTTCATATCCCGATAATGCCACAGTCATCCGTGGCCCGGAATTCAAGAGAGCAAAACTGGCCGTGCTATCTGGCTGGGAGCGGCATATGCTCACTCCTGTCAATCACAGAGCCACTAACCAATTGTAGGCATCTGTGAGCTCATGTATGCGGAAGAGCTTCGACAGCGCTTTCCTACAAGTGTGTTACGCCGCCCTGTGATGCAGCATGAGCAGCAGTTTGTAATAATAATAATAATAAAGTTATGCCCATGGGCAGTGCAGCATGTGTTCCTTCTACTGCCTCTACGCATCCTGAAAATAGACACCAGTCCCTCAAGCATATTGCAACCCAAGTTTTTATTAAATAAAATTCAAAAGCTATTTTTTATAACAAATTGACACCCCTAATATACACAGACATCACATTACACATAACTTAAATGCATGTAATGGTTCTTTATCCTTTTCAAACCTGCATTAATGCTTTTTATATCTAATCAGGATTCAGCATAACCTCAGATAATGAGATACTCCACTAAGAAATATGGCTTCTGAATAAGACATTCTTATTGGCTATGTTAAGACCTACCAAAGTCACTCTTTACGATCTACATAAAATGCCAGAGAGAGAAAATTTCCTCCCCCCAGCAGCGCAGCACGTCTGACAGGGTTAATTCTGTTTTTTATCGAATCATAGCTCCTGTAGTGCTGAGAGATGTTTCTCAGTCAGTGTAATAACAAAGTCACTTACTGCTTTACTGTCAAGCAGCATGCTGGTGATGTGCGTCCTGCTTTTAAAGGGCTCGTACTCTGCGATGATGAAGGGGGCACCGTCCTGCTCCAGGATTTTATGGACGTTGCCATTGTCTAAGGAGAGAAAACAAAGCTTTATTTACTTATTTACTTTATTTACTTTAATGTATTCTCTTTTGTATGTACATACACATACACAGTATATTGCTCTGTGCAGGATATTTTACATATAACATGCATTACTACTGTTATTTATTATAGGGCTAGGCATTAGGACATTGCAGTAATAATAATATCATGATACACTTTTATCATATCATCATATCAGTCATGCGTGAGTGCATTTATAAGTCCTTTGTTACTCACTGTAAAATGGAACAGGTTATTAAAAACCAACTGTTTCATTTTCCCTCTTTTTCCACATGAAATACTTTATTTTTTAGAAATGCTGGACAAAAATCTCTGAACCTGTTGAACACCTTTGTTTGACAAAAGATATGACAAATATGACCCCATGACAAAAAATATTATATATAAAATATTATATCATTAAAAAATTTTTTTTTTCAATGCTAAAAAGATATTATATCATTATAATGTTTCTATGATACACAATATGTACCATGATAAACAACAAACTGCAAGCAAGTTTTGCATAAAAACGGTCTACAAATTTAATGGCTTTTATAATTAAAAACCTTTTATTTATAAATAAATAAAGAAATAAAGAAATAAATATATAAATAAATATGGCATTGTAAAAGTCCACAAATTTGTTTTTTGAAGCAAAAATGTATTTAAAAAAAAAAAAGATTTTAATAAGTAAGGAATTAAATCAGCTGCTTCCAGGCAGTTTGTAATTATTTAAAGAATATAAAAATGTAATTAATCGTCATATCGCCCATCATGAAGCCGTCTTCAATAGAGAGAGGAAAAAAGAGAGGCTGGTCAGTAAACGATGGTTTATAGCTGCTGCTTATAGCTGCTGATGGTTTATGACTGCTATTACGTAAGCGATAACAGGAACTACAAAGTGTCAGTCTTTAATTAATACAAACTGTTAGCACTGATATAAGAGGAATGAAACACTTTTGGACATTTGGACACGTCTGTTACTGGAAATGTCAAGATGGTAACAGTAACTGCACTTTGCAGTGGGCCACGTCATACCAACTCATCACTGATTATTTTCTTATAGCAGCACACCCCCAAGTGTTTTATACACTACGATTTGCCCACCCACATGGGTACTCTACCCTTACATGTAGTTTAGTGTTTTGTGTTCCACCTCTTTGGAAATTCTGATGATTTAATTCATACTGAGAGTTTGTTGTCTTGAGTTCAGAGTTTCGAGAAGAGGCAGAGGGGAACAAACTGAATTTGCCTCTTTGGGGGTCTCCCCAACCCAGACTGGAGAACTATATAACTAACACATAACTAACCATCCAGGGATGTGTGAAACTTTCAGTTATCGCCTTATGCTGGTCAGGGTGATGGTGAATGCACAGCTTATCTCAGGAGTGAGGCATGGGTTTCCTTTAGGTTCTGCTTTTTCCTCCCAAGAACATCCCAGTTGGTGAATTGGGAATGCTAAATTACTTTTGCGTGTGTGAATGTGGGTGGTGTCCCATTCAGGGTGCATTTCCATCTCTCACCCGGTGTATCCTGGATAGTCTCTGGATCCACCGTGACCCAAACCAGGATTACTGAAGCTGAATGAATGTTTGAAACATCAGGAGCACGAACATCACACTTTGTACTAGAAGAATATTTTGAGTTTGAATTTCCATTTATAGATTATGAGGATTTTCTCTCTAAAGCCACATTATGAGGTTTTTCTCTCTAAAGCCACAGACCAAACGAGAGCTTGCTGAGTTTCAAGGTCTGCACATTTATAAACGTTTAGAAGCTATATTTTAACTCTTTTCACACCTATAGTTTCTTTACACACTGTTTTTTAGGAAAATATAAGATATTTCCTAGAAGTTTGGTCAACATTAAATATTAGACTATACTTTAGAATTACACATGGACAATCAATTTAGTTTTTAATATGAATGTTATTTAGAAAACGTCAGCATTCATATGACATGCAATTTAAGGAAGCTGGATATGTTTTTAAATAACTTGTACACGTAAGGGTTAAAGCCTACTCTTCTGCATTATATATGTGCCATGCAGTGTATGATTGATCAGTGAAACTCACAGCCCGCTCTTTGCCCCACATTAATGTCTGTCTACTAATGTCTGTCTACTAACGTCTGTCTACCCCGATGAAAGGCCTTTTTGTACAGAGGTGTTGGAACAGAATAGAAAGAAGAACATGTTGCTCCTCCCTGACATTTCTCAGAACACTATTTAAATTATACAACATGTGTAACTCAAAACTTCTTCTTCCTCTTTTTTTTTTTTTTTTGAACAAGGAAATGCGTATATGTGTGTGTTAACATTTCCCATTATGCTTATCTATGTTTTACATCGTTTTGCATTGGTTTATCGACCTTTAAATCAGTATATCCAATATTCCGCCAAATTACCCTGAAAGGTGTTCGTTATCAACTGACTAGAATTACTGGTTCCTACAAAACTTGGACTGGACTGGCAAATTAGTCATTTCTGGAGGTCAAATAGGATGTCATGTCCAATCCAGGTTCTCAGGATCAAGCTCTGCTGGATGTGATTAACATAATGATGTCTGAAAGAACTGAGCTGTTGCAGTGGTAGCTAGCTACTCGTTTTGTTTTTTGGACGAGGAGGCAAGAGAGACAGAGAGAAGTGTTTTTTTAAAAGTCAGCCCATCCCTGATTTATGGTGTAAAAGTAAAGTGTACAGCTTCCCTAAGACATATTGCCCTCTATCAATACATGAGATGAGCAAGAGGCTAAAGTTGACACTTAATGAATTCAGGATACTAGTAAGAACAGTCCTATGGTCATTCAAAAACATTTCAGTTCAATTCAATTTTATCTGTATAGTGATTTTCACAATGGACAATGTCACAAAGCAGCTTTACAGCTTTACAGCTTTACATTTGCAGTCACTGAGTCAGACCCGAAATGGTAGATAGGACTTAGGACTGCAATTGCTAAGAACAAT